GCCCCCGGACAGGACTCGCGAAGCCGGAAGTGTCCTGAAGCACGGAGAGGCCGCGGGAGCCCGCTGGCGGTGGAGCGGAGGTTACCAGGCGCGGTGAGTGGGGCGGCTGCGGGCGGATGAGGGGCCGAAGCCGCGTAGGGAAGGGGCGACAGAGCCCTGCCCTGGCCCGCGCGGAGTGCTCCGGCCCCCTGTGGGAAGCGGGGATGCTGAGTCAGAGCGCGGGCGGGGCGGGCGCCCCTAGCAGCCCGTCGGGACCCGAGGCCGAGCCCTNCCCGCACCCTGGCAGGGCGGACACCGCCCCCCGGTGTCTGGGGCGTCCGAAGCCGGGCGGAATGGTCGCGCGGGCCCTGTCCCCTCCATCTCGACTCCCGGTCTCCGACCCGGGCCCTCCGGGGTCTGGTGACGCTGGGCACGGAGAAAAAGGATGTGTGGGTGGCCGAGCCTGGGCCCTGGCGCCCCGTGGGGACGATGCCCCTTCCGCTTGCAGTTAGGCTGGCCTCCCTGGAGCCCTGCTTCCCGGCGTTGGCTGGGTCGGCCGTTTTTAAATGGATTGAGTCTTTTTCCCCCCAGATGATTAAAAAGACCTCTCATTAGGGTCGTAGTGATGATAACAAGAGGGGGTTGACTCCCGGGAACCTAGGAGCTGAAAACCTTTTTTAACACACGTACGGGTAATGGATAGCGAAAGTTCCCAGGCGTTCCCTGGGGGGAAATGGCTTATAGGTTTGTTTTCCGGTCCGATTCCCGAGTATCTTCAGTTAAGTGGCCTCAAACCAAGTTTCACCTAGTAATTGTCAAACGCATAACCAAAGAACGACCTTTTCTACCTGAAAAGTGAATAAATAAGTACCTGTTTAACATGATTCACATCGTAGCAGAGTTTGGAAATCGTGGAACTTTGTCCATTTTCCGTGTCACCAGACGGGGTTTCCCTTATGGACCAATGATAACTTTCGTTTTGGATAGTATGAGGAAGTAGACTCAAGACAGGGTCAGCAGTAATACATACTTGTTGAGTGCCTGCCTGTTCTGTGTCAGCGTTGTGGGAACCTTTATCTAGCAAGCACCTTGTGGGTGTGCTGAGTCATGATTTAGGCACGCTGTTAACTGTGGGGCTTTTGGAAGAGTTTCGGAAGACCTGTCCCTAGATTGTTGTAAAACCGTAGGTTTATATCTGCGTACAGAAAGCAGATATCTTAGGCTGGTAAATGTGTTTTATATTATCCACTAGGTACAAATTGGTACCTAATGATACTGTTTGCCATCTACAGTGATCTCAAACAGCATAGTTAGGGGAGGTTTTTCATTATTGAAAAATATTTGAAAATATTAATTGAAGAGATATTTGAGAAGTTTATAGTTACTACCTCAGTAGATCACAAATGTGTATTTATTTGTGAAAAGGCAGTCTTATTTTTATTGCTTATTTTCCAGTAAGTTGCTGTGTGTAACATTCCTTATCTGAATTAGATGGCTGGTAAAATTGCAAAAATATATCTTAGTATACCAAAGATTGCCAAAATTTAGACCCCTGGCCATTCTTTAAGTTCCTAATTCTACCTGGAATATAGGCAGTCATTAATTCATCACTGACTACCTAGTCTGTTCTAACTTACTGGGAAAGAATTTATTTTATTTTATATTTTATTTTTTTATTTTTTTTAGAGAGAGGAAGGGAGAGAGAGAAACATCTTTTTGTTCCACTTATTTATGCATTCATTGGTTGATTCTTGCATGTGCCCTGATAGGGAGGGAACATGCAACCTTGCCGTATCTGGACAACGCTCTAACCAGCTGAGCTACCCAGCTAGAGCTCTATGAAGGAATGTTAAGATCTGTTTTGATCTGACATTATAGCAGGTTTAAGGAGGCTTGTTGAGACTAGTGTTTATGCTATTTAGCATACCTAATTTTTATTCCAACATGGAGCTCAAATATTTTTAGTATTTATATAGCTTTTCCATATTCAAGAACAGTATTAAAAGGGGTTGATACTTTTTTTCAGTATTAAAAAGGGATGATGCTTTTTTAAAAATAGACTTTACTGCCCTGGCTGGTGGGTTCAGTGGTTAGAGCATAGGCCCTCACACTGTAGAGTCTTGGGTTCAATTCCCTTTCAAGGGCACATACCTGCCCTGTAGGGCGTGGCTCAGCGGTTGAGCTTGGACCTAGGATCCAGGCGATCGGGGTTCGATTCCCAGTCAGGGCACATGCCCAGGTTTCGGGCTCGATCCCCAGTGGGGGGCATGCAGGAGGAGCCGATCAATGACTCATCATTGATGTTTCTCTCTCTCTCTCTCCCTCTTCTTTCCTCTCTCTGAAATCAATAAAGATATAAAAAAAAACAACACAGCACATACCTGGTTGAGGTTCAGCCCCTAAGCCCGGTTGGGCGCGTGAGAGAGGCAACCAGTCAATGTGTCCCTCTCAATTGATGTTTTTCTCTTTCTCTCTCCACCCTCTCTCCCTCCTTTCCACTCTCTCTAAAAAAAATCACCTGGCTCGCACGGCTCAGCGCTTGAGCATCTACCTATGATTCAGGAGATCATGGTTCAGTTCCCAGTCAGGGCACATGCCCAGGTTTCAGGCTCAATCCCCAGTGGGGGGCGTGCAGGAAGCAGCCAATCAATGACTCTCTTATCATTGATGTTTCTCTCTCTCTCCTCCTCCTCTCCCTTCCTCCCTCTGAAATCAGTAAAGATATATATATTTTTAAATCGATGGGAAAAATATCCTCTGGTGAGGATTAACAAAAGTAAATAAATAAATAAGTAAATAAAAATAGACTACTTTTTGGAGCAGTTTTAGGTTCATAGCAGAATTGAGCGGAAAGAAGCAGAGATTTTCCATGTACTTCGTACCCCCACACGTGCATAGGTTCCCCTTGCTTATTTTTTAAGACTTAGTAATATACATTTGGCATGCCTATATTTATATACTTGGAGGTTGGGGAAACTATCCTTTAATTTCAGAAGAGTTAGTAACCTTTCAGGAACAATAATTCTTGCACCTTTCCGTTGTGATTGCCAGGTTCTGTGTAGATGAAATTTTAAGTTATGGAAGTGTCATGCAGTGACGGCAGTTTTCATTCCTGTTGCTCTGCCCTTGAAGGAAACAAAGTAGTTTTTACTATATTCTGTTATATTTTACTTTATTACATTATTTTGAAACACTTTAAATATAATTCGTCATTGATTAATTGTTCAAAACATTTGAAAAAGTGACCAATATCACTGTCTTTGACAAAGACAAAATTAGAATGGAAATAGGTATTTCTTTCAGCCTTTTGATAAGTAAATTAAATTGAATATATAAGATGCCATTGGTTAATGTTATTCAGAGCCCACACAGCATTTTAGCCTTTAATATTGCTGGAAACTTGGATTTTTACTTTGGACTGTTTATATATGTCAATTTAGCTATAAATAAAAAGTGATCTTAGCTAACATTTGTTTCTTAAATGCACTAGTCCCTTAAAACAAACATGTACATTTTTTCTTTTCTCTTAGTATAACAAAGAGGATCGCCTGACCAAGCCGAGATGCAGAGCACGTCTAATCATCTGTGGCTTTTATCTGATATTTTAGGCCAAGGAGCTACTGCAAATGTCTTTCGTGGAAGACATAAGGTTGGTACAGAGAAAACCATGAAGGCTTTTTATCACTTTACATGTACTCTTCTGAGAAGCACACTTGCGCTAAAATGTGAGACTTGGTGTTTTTAATTATACTGTCTAAAGAGTTCCTGATTTGCCCTAGCCAGTTTGGCTCAGTAGTTAGAGCATCGTCCCTGGACTGAAGGGTCCTGGGTTTGATTCCAGCCAAGGGCACGTAGCTCGGTTGCAGGGTGATCACTGCCCAGCAGTGCGGGAGACAACCAGTCGATTTGTCTGTCTCATATCGATCTCTCTCTCAATCTCTCTCTCTCTCTCTCTCTTTTCTTCCCTCTCCTCCCTCTCTCCCTCTCCCCCTCTCCCTTTCCCTCTCCACCTTCCTTCCACTCTCTCTGAAAAGCAATGGAAAACATATCCTCCAGTGAGGATTTAAAAAAAAAAGTACCTGTTTTTTTGGTTTTATAAGGTATAGCTTATGTCAGAGGCAGTGGTATCTACTCAGTGGTGACAGAAGTTATATGTTGGGGAGCAGAGAAAAACAGAAGGTTGGCTGAAAAAAATGGATTGGGGAAGTCCATTTTAGGCCAGGAAGCTACTGCAAATGTCTTTTGTGGAAGACATAAGGTTGGTACAGAGAAAACTGAAGGCTTTTTATCATTTTGATTCTTTCCCTAACCTAGCCCTGCTATCTGTGGTTGTAAGTGATCTCACTTACAGAAGTTCAGTGCAACAGTGATATGGGTTGGTGGTAGTAGGGGCGGCAGATCTGTAGTTTGGAGGACAACCCACGATGTCTCCTATATGCTGTACTAAGGCTTCATGCCCCCAGTAAAACAGATCCTACAAGGTAGAGTAGTAGAGTAAAATGAGATTATCAACAGGGAGCCCAGGTTTAAAAGGCTCTATCTTTGTATGAGGTAATTAGAACCTGTTAGTGGAAGTGAGAATAAAATAAAAGGGCTAATTCCAGAGGCACTTCAAGAACTAAAAATATCTTGTGTCAGATTCTGTATTGGAGGGTAAAACTAATTAAAATAATTTAAAACTAAGACATTTAAGATCATTAAAGTTTCTGTTCTGGGAAAGGAGCTGGAAAAATAATGAAGGTAAAAATCCTTTTATAACTTAAATAATCATCAACTGATTTTTCAGCACTATGAATTTATTTTGAGTAAATGATATTTAGAGCTTCCTTAATTCTTATCTTTAGAAACAGGAACTTTAAATATTTAGTAAGGAAGAGTTTTTTTGTATCTTCCTGTAGCCTTGAGATTACTAGTCATTTAATTCTGTCAGTGACAATGAGATAAGCATTCATATTGGAGGAGCTGTTTCCTCTCCTGAGGAGAGAATATGACTAAAAACAGCCTTTATGGCTCATAGAAAATGAATCAGAAGTGTCAGAAGGACACTTTCAGCTTTTTTCCTTCTGATTCCAGAATCGTCCACAGGTTCCATGTTTTCGATCAAGTTCATTGTGGTCTCTGGTTCCTTGGTCAAATCCAGTGTGCTCAATTGTGGATATTTTTGTCCCAGAAATTGTTTTTGTTTTGTGCCCTGTACCAAAAAGAGAAAACAAGTGGTAGCACAGGATTTAATGTTGAGAACACATCTGACTATCTTCCTGTGACCCAAATTAACCAAACAGACTTTAATAATCACCTGATATGTGTCAGGCACTGCGGTAGACCTAGTGAATATAACTACCAATAATGTACATTTCCTGCCCACAGAGAGTTTTGGGGTCAGTAGCAAGGTGGCATTGGAAGGGATGTAAATTGGAAATTGCTGAAGTGGAAAATGATAGAGATTGGGTGAGGCATATTAAAGTGCTTGGTACTAGTATTATTTCTTATATTCCAGTCCCCTGTCTTTACTTAGATTAGATACTCAGTGTTCTTCATGTAAGTGCCTACACATAGTAGGCACTCTGTAAAATGTTGGAAGGAAGGAGGGAGG